GCCCCCCCTTTCCTTTTCCAGGCAGGGGGGGTGGGGCTTTTGGTTTGAAAGTTTTTTCGCAGCATGTGCAAAGGGGGCTTGCCGGGGCCCACCCCGAGCAAGGTGCAGCACTTCAGCTGGCAACTACTTTGAGGGGCCGGTTCGGCTTTTCAGCACGGGCACCCGGCGGCGCGGCGGCGCGGCGGGCGGCGCCGCCATCCTCGCAGCCGACACGGTCTCGCCCCCGAGCGGCGGCGGCGCGTGGGCCGCGGGCCCCGCGTCGCAGGAGGACGCGGAGGAGTGGCTGTCGTTTGCGCTGGACCAGCTGCACGAGGAGCTCCTCGACGCCGCGAGGAAGGCCCCTCCGCCGCAGCCCAAGCAGCAGCACGACTCGCCGCGCGCCGGCCGCGACAACGGCGGCGCAAGCGGAGGCGGCCGCCCGCACGAGGCGCGGCAGAACGGCGGCGCGGCGGAGGAGGAGGAGGGCGCGGGCGGCGGCGGCGACTCGGACGGCGGCGGCGAGTGGCTCAGCGTGGGCAAGGGCTCCAAGGTGTCGACCACGCGCACGATGGCGGTCGCGTCGTCGCCGGTGCGCCGCCATATCCTTCTCCGCCCCGCGTCTCGGCGCATCTCGGGCGCATCCCGGCGCATCTCGGGCGCATCTCGGCGCATCTCGGCTAGGTGCGCGCCATCTTCTCGGGCATGGTCTGCAACCGCGTCGAGGCCCGGGAGGACGAGGATGGCAAGGTCGCCAAGCCGTCCAACACGATCGAGCCCTTCACCTGCCTCAACCTCGACATCGACCGCGCCGCGATCCGCTCGCTCGACGACGCGCTCGACGCCTTCTTCGACAAGCAGTCGCTCGAGGACTTCAAGATCCGCGGCAAGTCCGCCTCGGCCTCGAAGCAGCCGCTGCTGCAGGCGCTGCCGTCGGTCCTCGTCCTCCACCTCAAGCGGTTCACCTACGACCAGCACGGCTCGCACAAGGTGCTGCGGCACCTGTCCTTCGAGCAGACCCTCCGGGTGCAGCGATCGCACCTCGCAGACGGCTGCGCGGGCGCGCGCCCAAAGGCGGCGCCCGCGTACACGCTGGTCGCCGTCGTCGCGCACCACGGCCACACGCTCGGCGGCGGCCACTACACGTGCGACGTGCACGTGCCGTCGGCGGGCGGGGGCACGTCGGAGTGGTACCACTGCGACGACAACCGCGTGCGCAAGGTCAAGGCCTCGGACGTGATGCAGCGGCAGGCCTACGTCCTCTTCTACGAGCGCGCGGCCGACAGCTAGCTAGGGCGAGGCTGCCGGCCACCTTTGGCTCCTGACCTCTCCTCGCCCCCCTTGCCCCCCCCTCTCCTGAGCCGGAGGGTGTCGAGAGAGCGCGGTCTCCGGTGGCCGGTCCTCATGTCCGCTCGCCTGGCTGTGCATCGTGCACTCTTCTCGCGGCCGTCAGCAGGCACCGACGCGGGCGCGCCCTCTGCGAGCGAGGGACCGCTCGGCCGCCTCGACGCGCCGCCCGTTTTGTGTCATCGTGCGTGTGCACTCTTGACCGCGGCGTCGGACCTCGTCAGATCGCGTGGTTGTGAGCATCCTTTGCGTGTGTGCGACGTCCGGTTACTGTTTTTGATTGATTCCTTATATAGCTGCCGCGCTCTGCTCGGCTACGTTTGCGGCGCTCTCAGAGACACACTCAGTGGAGATGTAGATTGTAGTGAGCTGCCCGTGTCCGGGCGTGGGAGATGCGAGGGTCGCCCCCCCTTGCCCCACCACTTTCCACTTTGTGTGTGTGGAGACGTTTACCTTACCTTACCTTAGACCAGACCGCACGCTGCACGCTCAAACGTGCTCCGGCGGGAGCGCGGGGTTTATGGAGCGCACTAAGACTAGTATCTCTCGTTTCTCGAGGAGCTTTAATTCTTGCGTCCGCCCACAACCCTCCCTTTTGGAACCCAAAACTTGAGACGCTCTGCGAGCGGCGATTTCTTCCCTCGCTCGTGCATCACGGGGCGGCGCCTGTCTGCTATAGCCGCAGCCACTCCCAGCTGCTCGGTGTGAACAGAGTTCGTACACCGAGCAGCTCCGCAGACCGAGGCCCCTCGGTGTTCACAGATAGGGTGACAAGAAAACAAGAACCTCGCATACGACGACAGTGAGGGTGTGAGAGACAGACCCAGGGAAGGTCTTTCACTACCTTACAGCCCCTGCCCGAGCTCAGGCTCGACAGAGGTCGGTTTGAACATTGCGCGCAGCGTATGGACCTTGTTCGATGTCCCGCGTCGGCGTGTAGTTCGGGTCGTACAGGTACTCACCAGTCTCAGCGGCATTGCCATGGTAGACCAAGCCCACCTTGTACCGCAGCGCGGCGCAAGCCAGCATGTGCTCTTCACAGCGGAGTGAAAGGGGGACCGAGGCGGCGCTTGCTGAGAGGTGCTCTTGCAGCGAATAATCTAGTGCATACCCACACAAGGGCGCCCCCCCTCGCGGCCGCCAACACGGCTCGCAGACGCGCTGTCGTAGTTTCCGTCAGGGAGCGTCTATCATTATACTCGCCGCTCCAAGGGATCCTCCGCGGTTCTGTCGGCGTCTGCGCGCGCTGAACCCATCTGGACCCAAGCCCCTGCTCCCTCGCGAAGGCACGCCTAATAATATCACTCCGCCTCGCCGTCGCCGCCGCCGCCGTCTGCCTCGCCGTCGCCGCCGCCGCCTCTGCCGCCGCCTCTGCCGCCGCCGCCGTCCGCCTCGACGGCCGCCGCCGCCTCCCCCTGTCGCCTGCCCCCGCATCACTGCCGCGCCACCGCACATTAACACGCTAGCTTTTCGTGTCAGGACGCGTAACCTTCGACCCCCGCCTGCCGAAGCACAGAGCCGCGAGCCGTCGCCGCAGAGGCGCGGCCCGCACGCTGCTCCCACCATACACACATTACCCGGCGGCTCTGTCCCTCGCCCATCACACCAGAGCGCCCTCGCCACCGCCCATCCTCGGTGCCATCACCGAGCCCGCCGCCTCGAAGTTGCCCCTGCGTCTATGAGCCCCTTCCCCTCCCGCGCAGGCCTCGCCGTGCGCCCTGATCCGATGGGCAAGTCAAAGTGGTCGCACTTTCCCCTCAACTATACCGTCGCCGGCTCGTATCAGTCCGAAGGCAGCATGGACGACAGCGGCGGCTTCATGCGGCAGGGGAGGCCCCGCTGCAAGGGCGTCGCCGAGCCCTCACCCGCTCCCGCCGGGGATGCGACGGTCCGCGCGCTAATCGAGATGGGGTACGACGAGGGGGGCGTGCTGCGCGCCGTCGCGTCCCTCTCCGACAAGTCGAACGTTGAAGCGGCGGTTGTCGAGCTTGAGCGCATCGCTGGCGACGGGGTGCAGTCGCTCAAGGCTGTGCCCTACATCGGCCTGCAAAACCAGGGTACCACCTGCTACCTGAACTCGCTGTGCCAGTGCCTCAACAAGACGCCGGAGCTGCGTGGGGGGCTCATCGCCCTCTGCTCCACGCCTGACACCGCGAGGCCAGTGTGCGCTGCGCTCTCCTCCCTCTTCTCCTCCCTGTCATCGGCGTCGCAGGCCGTCGGAGCCGAGGGTCTCTCCCGCGCGCTCACCACCGCGGTGGTCGGCGGCAATGCCTTTGGGTACGAGGACGTGCAAGAGTTTTGGCAGGCACGAGATGCGCCGAGATGCGCCGAGATGCGCCGAAACAATGCGGGCCGAGAGTCCACAAGAGATTGGCGCGGCGGCCCGTACGACACTCGCCACGAACCGTCCCATGTCCCGTCCAGGTGCTGCTGGACAAGCTCGAGGCTGAGCTCAAGAGGTGCCCTCCCTTGCGACACACATAACGAAGCAGAGCCTCGCCCAATCTCGGCTAACCCCCCCCCCCTCCCCCCCCCCGCAGCACGCCGCAGGCGGATCTGCTCATCTTCCGCGACCCCTGAGATGAGATCACCCAAGATTACGCGGGATCATCACCCGAGATAGGAGGATCTGCTGCGCGAGGTTTTTGGCGGTACGCAGCGTGCACACGTGCGGTGCGCCCGGTGTGGCAACGTCACCGCCACCGACGAGGAGTTCTATGACATCAAGTGTCCGGTCGAGGCTGGCAGCGTGCGCGGCGCCCTCGAGACGCTGTGCGCGACGGAGCGCATGTGCGGCAAGGAACAGTACGAGTGCGAGCGCTGCGGGTGCAAGGTGGACGCCGAGCGCTGCCTCTCCTGGAACAAGCTACCGCGCGTGCTCGCGATACACTTGCTCCGCTTCCGGTGCGACCAGCTGCCGCCAGCTCCCCTCACCGCCGCACGCACGCACACGCACGCGCACACACACACGCACGCACGCACGCACGCACACACACACACACACACACAATCGCTAGCCGTAGTCGCCCTCGCCGCTATCCTCATCTTCACCCGCTGTCCTTCAGGTCAACCCCATCCCGTGAGGTCAAGGTCAACGACGAGGTCGCCTTCAAGACGGAGATGGACATGGCGGATTTCGTGCGGCCGCCCGCCGCATGGGCCCCCGACTCGCTGCCAATCGGCCCGCCAGAGGCCGGCGGGCCGTTGCCATACGAGCTGTACGCGGTGCTCGTCCACTCCGGCTCCCCGCAGCACGGGCACTTCTACGCGCTCATCAAGGACCTCGACGCCGCGGGCTCAGCTAACGGCGGCGACGGGAGCGGCGAGTGGCACGAGTACAACGACGCATGCGTTAAGGAGATCAAGGAGTCGGGCCTCAAGAGGAAGGCGTTCGGCGGCGAGGGCGGAGATTCCCTTCGCACGCGTGACCGCCACTCCTCCGCGTACATGCTCCTCTACCGCGCGCGTGGCGCTCCCGGCGGCGAGCCGACCCCGCCGTCGGAGGACGCGGCCCACACACCCCCTGCGATGCGGACATCGGCCCACTCTCTTCTCACCCTCTGGCTTCGCCACTGTAGGCGGCGGCGGCGGCGGAGGTGGCGGCGGCGGCGGCGGCGGCGGCGGCGGCGGAGCAGGTTCGCCTCGAGCAGGAAGCAGCAGAGGCGGCGGCGGCAAAGAAGGCTCTCGAGGAGCATGCCGCGGAGGTGCCGAGGGCGGAGGTGGCGGCGGCTGCGGAGGAGGCGGAGGCGGTCAACCACGCGGCGCTGGCGGCGGAGGTGGCGGCGGGCCGTGGCGGCGGCGGCCCGTGGCGTACTCGCTTGGAGACGGCCAAAGAGGCGCTGGCGGCAAAGAAGGCTCTCGAGGAGGAGGCCGCGGCCGAAGCTGCTCGCGCCGCTGAGACGGCTCGGATCGAGGCGGAGAAGGCGGCGGCGGAGGAGGCGGAGCGGTTGGCTGCGGAGGAGGCTGCGGCCAAGGCACGTCTACGAGTCAAAAAGGTGAAGACGCGTCGCCACTCTCGTCTCACCGTGTGGTGTCGGGCCGCTGTAGGCGGAGCAGGCTGCGGCCGAGGCCGCCGCGGCAGAGGCGGCGAGGGTAGCGGCGGCCGAGGCCGCCGCGGCAGAGGCGGCGAGGGTGGCTGAGGAGGCTGAGGCGGCAGAGGCAGCGGCGGAGAAGATTCGCCTCGAGAAGGCGGCGGCGCAAGCGGCTCGCGCGGAGAAGGTTCGGATCGAGGCGGAGAAGGCGGCGGAGGAGCAGGCGGAGGCGGCGAGGCTCAAGGCGGCGCGTGCTGCAAAGAAGGAGGCGAAGGAGAGGCGGAGGATCGAGGAGAAGGAGAAGCGAGAGGAGGAGGCCGCCGCCCGCGCCCGCGCCGTCCGCGAGGCGGCTCACGAGGCGAGACCCCCGGCCACCCCCCCCCCACCCCCGCGCCCCCCCCGCCCGATCCCTCACTCTCCGCGTGGTCCTCTCCAAGGAGGCGGTGGCGAAGAAGAAGAAGCAGAAGGAGGAGAAGAAGGAGAAGGCTCGGCTGGCGGCCGGGCGGCCTGGCATGGCCAAGGTCCAGCCGCACACGATGACTGCCTCGCTGCAGACCATCAAGGACGGACTCGCGCTGCCGGGCGGCTCGGCGGTGCCGCCCGGGCGCCTCGAGAAGCCGCCCAAAGAGGTGGCAGTCGCCACTGCACCTGTCGGGCCCTTGGCGCCGGGCAACACCCAATCTCGTCTCACGTTACTGTAGGCGGCGGCAAAGCCTCCCCGAGAGAAGGCTGTCGCCGAGGCCACACCGGGAAAGGCGGCAAAGGTGACGGCGGCGGCGGCGGCGGCGGCAGCAGAGGCGGACGAAGCCACCACCGAGACTGCGCCCGGGTGCAAGCTCGCCGACAAGCGGCGGCGCAAGAAGAAGAATGCGCGCGAGAAGCAGCGGCGCGAGTTGGAGGAGGATGCGCTGC